GCAGGCGTGTGTTGGAGGATCTTGATCGGATTAAATCGTGAATCCATGTAATGTTACATGATAAGCAGATACGCATAAAGTAAGGTTGGGTTATCAGACGTCCTCGTTTGGACAGTCCCTCTGGATTTTTATGAGCTACTTACGACAGTAATTTAACGAATGGCAAACATTGAAAACATTTTTAATATTATCCGGTTTACTTGCAATGCAGTTTGTTAACACTAGAAGTACCAACGTTTCTTATTTATTAAAAGGATTAAGTAAATAAATTATTGTATGAAAATAAAGAAGACTCAAATATTTCAGTATAAAAAAGACAAAATTTCAGAATCTTTTACACATCCCCACACATACACATAAAGAATATATTAATCTAAAAAACAGAAATGACAATAACAATTGTTTAATAATTTCAGTGTTAAACAGAATAAAACAAAATATACGTAAAATAACATTAACTTTATGTAGGATTTTTTTAAATCTTTCATTTCTATACACTAAGCTACATTAGAACTTTCTTTCTCACTTTGTCCAAATATATTAAATACATACTTATCCCATTATTCCAAAAGTATATGTATATTAGGAATGTGTTCCACTTAATGATGTTCACAATGCATTTTAGTTCAGTTCCTGGAAGACAGATCTTTTTATAAAAAAAAAAAAATAAAAAAATAAAAAAAAAGTAAAACCTGTCTTTATTTAATCATCTGATTTCAGTAAAAAATAATCTAGTAACAGAAACATAGGTGTACTTCGTCGTGTAGTATGCTTCCACGTGTGCGTGAGTGCGCGAGTGCAATATCAAAGAAATATGGCGGAAGATCGCGGAAGGGTGCGGAAATTGGGCGTTACCACAACGCGAGAATGTCGCGCGACGAATCGACTGGAATGAAAAGAGAAAGCGTGATTTACACCATGCACCGCGTGCGTCATTTAATAAACTCTCGCGTGGCCAACGCGATGGCGTGCCATTTCCTCCGACATAAATTCCGCAGTAAGGAAAGGCAAAAACGCGATAGAATGTGTGTCGCGGGATTACGAATAATAGCAGCCTTCTCTCTCGCGTTAAGAAATCAAGCCCGCGGCCTTTTTTAAGCCGCGTGCTCTCGCTTTACGTGCGAGGAAAGTTGTAAAGAGCATGCCGGGGAAGGTATAACAACTTGTTCAGAAAATAAATCAAAAAATAATATCCCTCTGCGTTATATCAACCCATTTTTCACGCCGCCGCAACCGATTGAGATTTATGGTGCGAGAGTTTAGTGATTTTACATTGAAATCAGAAGCGGAAGTAAACACTTGGGGGATGGTGATGCTCTTTCAACAAACATCAAAACCAATTTACATGTAGTATCTCTCTATCTCTTTTTTTTAAATATAATTGATATGCATTTTATATTGCTACACTGTTAAATTCATAGTGTCAAATTATACCCAATTTAAATTATTTTTAATCATCTCTCTTTATAGATCATCATTTTGCTACTTAAAATATTATATATCGTTAATTAACTAAAACAATGAAATAAAACATTTATTTCATTGTCAAATAACCCTTTTGTCAATAGTTAGATTCATATCTAATTTTGAATAGTAAAATTTTTATATTTTTTGCGTGAATTTTGTGTACATTTCAAAAATTCCATTTTTAAATAGAACAGTAAAAAATGTACAGAACTGGGCCTACTTTATTTCGTTTCCACTTTATTTTTTTTTATTTGCGAAAATCTTATGAAACTAATAGTGAGACGGGATGAAAAAATTACGTATTGTTAAAAGAGTTAATTTAAGAAGTGCATTATAATTTTTAAAGTATGAAGAAACCAATATATATCCTGAGAAGAAAGTAATAAAGTTAATAAATATTTATTTAAATAGTACTAACTTAATATTTACTTATGGTAAATAAATACTTACTAAATAAAAGATAATATTTAAATCGAATTAATGGTTATTGTATCAAATAAATATATATTTACATTAATACATTCAGCAAGTATTATTCAAATTATTTGCTTCAAAATAGCGTTGCCATAGTTTGAGACAACGAATACAAATAATGAAATATAATAAATCTTATTGTTAGAGTCAATGAAAAGTTGCAAAATTTCAAAAAAAGATCTTATTTTGTACAAATTAAATTTGACTCAAATTATAGCTTATTGTTTTGTAAGCGAAACTTTAATATGCACATTGTTTACTTTGGAATTAAACAATTTAATTATAGAAACGCGGATTGATTAATATTTTGACAGATATGAAAGTAAAAACTGATAAAACGTTATTTAACACAGAAGATTGAGTTGCCACAGCTCTTTTCGTCTAACGATATAAAAAAGACAAAACTCCCTCTAACATATAACGTTTTATAACTCGTTAATAAATGAGTTCCGTTCGATAAAGTGAATCGCACACGCACGTCAGGCATATAGAGAAGCTCACGTGAAGAGGATAAAAAAAAAGTGTGCGCGTTCTAGCGTGAAGAAGCTAATTACAACGAGGTTAATTGCATCGCTACGACACTAAAGTGTCGACGTGTAGTTGCTGTCACACATGAGCGTACCTGCATATGTGCGTGTGTTCCGTTCGTGCGCAAATGTGTTCACAGGGTTGCCCGCTATTGAACCGATACGCACGTTTATCGAGGCCGTAAGTTTTGATTATGCTCGCGTGCCGGCATGTCATTACGTGTCATCCCTTATACCCCTCTCGGAGGATTCTCAGCGTTAATATACGAGCTTGAAACGTATTCGCGTTTGCACACCTGTTTCGCTGAGCGCATACATGGAGTAATCTAAAATGCTCGCGGGTTTATTTGTGTAATATTGACTCTTATCTAGTATACTACTATTTATGATTGTTTTGTGTGCGGTACTGAGAATATTTTAGGATAATTATGAGGCGATAAATTTGATAATAACAGTGACAAAAATTTCCGGTTGAAAATGAACGAACCGGATGATTCTGATTATATCAATCAAAATTTTAGTTAGCTCAACTAAAATTATAATAGATTTAATCAGACAAAATCGTTTTCAATCAGAATTTTAATTAATGCAACATTTTTTTCTTTGCGTGATAATAACATAGTAAAAAATCGATACAAGAGATTTTCTATTGACAAATAAAAACAAGAAAACTAGTTTTTTGTATAATTAATTTAATAACATTTTAGTCCTCCGTTTGTTATCTCTTTTCGTCTGTAATCTGTTTTTTATTCAGCCCAAGGTTTTTTACTATTCAAGGTTTTCAAAAAATGAGGAAAAATTTAGAATTACTTTTCTAATATCTGTATTACATTATCAAATAGGTGTTTTAAACTTAAGTGTTAAAATCTTCATAAAATAAATTTTTATATAATAAAAATTGAATTTGAGGAAAAATAAAGAAGATATTTTAAAACAAAAAATTTGCTTCAAAATATATAATTTAACAATAAAGAAACTGAACTTTTCTCTATTTCAAAGAAATTTGAGAGTAAAACTAATCAAAAAAGATCCAGATTGCAGATGAAGGGTTTATATATTTACACATCTAGTAGTGTACTCACTGCAAAATGGAAGTGGTAGTAGTTATTAATTTTATCAATTTGAGGAATATTATGCCATATTTACTCCAATATCACAATTATTTTAATTAATTAGAATTCAACACGAACAATTTGCGTGTTTTCTTTTTATGAATAAATTAATTATGGCTAATTAGACGCAATGAAAATCTACATTTTTAGGGCATTCTGTATAGAATATCTCTCGAATGGTATCAGTATATGTGAGTTTCTCATGTATCGTTATATTACCAAATATCCCACGTCAATATACCCGATGTGTTGCGTATATGAGTTGTTATATTAATAATTTATTGTTTACCTTTAACTTGTTGTTCATAAATCGCTGCTCTATGTGAGAATCGTTGATTGACCGTAATTTTGTAAGTAAATAATAATTAGAAAAATAAAAATTTTGCTCAGGATATAATTATTACAGGAAAGTTTATTATTTCTTGCAAGATCGAGTGAATTAAAAGTGTGGCTTATTATTTTTTTAGATTACAGGGAATAAAGTGATAAATTGATACATATCTAAATTAATATATACAAATATGAATAAGTATAGAAAATAACGTTGATTTTTGTGTATAATCGTATTTAATATATTATGGATTTAAATATTGAATGTAATCTGAGAAATATAAGGACACAACGCAGTTCGTGCCTTTTCGCTCAGATTCGTGACCGTAGATTCGTTAAGCTGCTTTCTCGGGATATCGATCCTCGCGGGTGACGTGAAGAAAGTTAAATTTCTCAGAGGAGTGCCGGAAAACGCGAACGTCGGTCGGTCCCTAAGACGGAAGTATCGGAAGGGAGTTGCGTCAGTCCCTGGCGTACGAAGCTGGCGAAACGAGTTCAAAATCCCTTTTGCTGTGCGAAACTTGACGCGGGCTGGACAAGAAACGGACCGGTCGGCGCGACCAGCCGGAAAAGTTGAAATTATAAAAATTTCAGATTTCCAAGCGGTTGACACGTGACACGACGATTCATACTCAAACAGAGAAAATAAGAATCTCTCTTGAGAATTTGCGCGACCGAGTTTCTCTCATACTTCGCAGTTGCCCGGAGATCCAAGTAAAATTTCGAGATAAAATAATGCATTCAGCATGTTTTTCGACAAACTTTTGTTAAAATATTCTTTTTGTCAAAAAAAATGTTATACGTTGGGTAACAATTATCTAAATAGGACCAAATATTTTGTTGAAGTATCTAAAAATTTAATTAACAGTAAACAATAAAATTTAACAATAAATAAATCTGTACTAATAATGAATAAATTTAGCTTAATTTTTAGATACTTTAAAATTATTTTTTTGTGTTCTTTTTACTGTCACAATTTTTTCTTAATTTCTCAAATCAATCATAAACTTGGTTTTTTCCATTTTTCTTAATTTTTTACTATTTGTAGTGTGTGTCTTCTTGCCATATTAACATTTGACATTTTTTGCAGGACCTTCGTTTTGGGGTTTGATAAATCCGCAGTGGTCTCTCTGCACCAAAGGAAGGCGGCAGAGTCCCATCAACATCGAGCCGGACAAGCTGCTTTTCGATCGCCACTTGAGACCGGTGCACGTCGACAAACACAGGGTAATCTATTTAATCTTTCAGTCCACAAAATTGCAAAGTGATTCGCAAGTAGAATTCTTGCAGGTCTCCGTGGACACGCAAGCATGTGATAAAGTCAGAATTTCGTGGAAAAAGTTACAATTAAAAACTTTATGAGATTTTTAGTAAATTTTATTCTAAAAATGCCAAATTATGTATCAATATTTAATTAACGACGCATAAAATTAATTATTCAAAGTATTTCGCAGTAAAATATGCTCTAAATTCGCAGAACGTCACGCACATCTACCGAATTAAATTTCAATTGCAGATGTTTCAAATTTACAGTAGATATTTTCACATTATTACATAATTAACTAATTTCCGATAAATAAGGATTTAACGCGACGACATCGGGTATCCCGTGTATCGTTGCGCGTATCGAGTATGATCTCGCGAAGGAAAAGGGAACGAAGAAGTAAAATGCCGAAGTTCGGTCTTGTTCCGTGTGCACGTCCACTTCAAATGAAGACGAAAGAGTCGTCTGACGGACGCTCGTTAGTCAAGCGGAGTACATACTGGGTGTCCCTCGGCGGGATGATTAAATTGCTCGGGTTTTTGCGTTTGGCGGACAGGTAATGAGAGATACCTCTCATTGATATTAATGATTTCCAAACGCGGCCACTCATTATAACTCATGATACATTGTTTACTGCGGATGCGTTTGAATATGTTGACTATCGCATGTAATTACGCGTCACGCACTATTATGCGTATTGTAATCGAGTTGCTTTGGTCGCAAGATCGATATGTGTATATATATATATATATATATATATATATATAAATAGTATAATTACGCGTCACGCACTATTATGCGTATTGTAATCGAGTTGCTTTGGTCGCAAGATCGATATGTGTATATATATATATATATATATATATATATATAAATAGTCGCGTTTTATAATTAAAACAAGTCGGAATAAAATTATAACAGTATATGATAATTATTTTAATTATTTGAAGCCTGGTACACATTATCTCGAATAAAATGAAGTATAAATGGCATCGCAGCTAGAAAAATAAATGCAGTACACGTTAATGAAATTTCATAATTACACAATGTAACTCGATTCACGTACTGAATAAATATATGATTCTGTTTAACGTTAAATATAACAGCAATTTTCATTTTACATAATTGTGTATAGCTTTTATTATAATATGCACGCTAAAATTTTATATTTACCGGAATTCTTATTTTGCGGAATGGAAGAGAATTATTTCATTATATGACATATTTCCGCACCGTAAAACAGATATATAATAAATATAAAATTATATCTTTTTGCTTTTATAAAAGATAAAGTTATATGTAGCGATTGACTTAACATTACAGCATTGTCGAAATTGGATAAAATTTACACCAAGTTATTAAGTCGATATTTTACTCCAAAATTAATACCGGAACTAAATTAAAATTAAAACGCTGGGAATGATTCATTTGCTTCGAAACATCTTGCGAAAAGTAAGGGATAAAATCAGGTTTGGTTACTGTAAAAGTATTCCCAGAGCTGTCACGTGATAGTAATGGATTTGGAATTCACCGGCGAGAGTTGCTCCACTTTCCCGCTGTCCATTTTTCACTGGTCGAGTTCGTTGATTCGATAATAAAGCCATTAATTATGAGGCCACCTATTTAACGCTGATTTCCGCTCCATCAGTGAGGATGCCTCGAAGAGCCACGGGGAACGTTAATTTACCATTAAGAAAACATTTATTCATCATACCACTCGTCTGCTAGAAGCTGCTCAGCTCGATTTGATGACAGTAACTTTTAATAATTTTTCAACGCGGAATGAAGACATCCAGACATGAAAATTTTAGAAAATCATACGAAAAAATCATGTAATTGAGGAAAACGTCTATTATTTTTTTTATTAGAGACAATATATTACATTCCTTACAAACATATTCGTTATTTCGCCTATTTGCATGTACTACAAGTGACTCATGCATGTAGTATGAGCGCATTGAAGAATATATTGAGGGCTCGAAAACCGTTTATAAATGCATGAACGGAAAGTCTCTGTGAACTTTCGATATAGAAGAAGTATGAACTTTCGATGTAGAATGGAAGAACTTGTAACGCGCGCGTTGCTCGATTTACATCTCCATTTATATTCTCATTCATATCTTTTTACTTTCGGAATACAACTCTATAATACGAATTTTATCAAAAGTACAAAAAAGAGTAGTGAAAATTATATATGCGAATATATTGTGGGATTATGATGGAAGAGAAAAATGAAATACCACATTACTTGCTTAAAACATCACATCATTCACGCAAAATAACGTATACTATTTTTTAATATATATTATTTTTCAAATGGCTTTCCGGTTTGCTTTACAAAATTGTACGTATTTTGTATGAAAAAATACCTGGCTAAAACAAACTTTTTTTTACAAAATTAATAATCTAATAACATTTTGTCGTTAAATTTTTTTATTGTGGTTTTTATTTCTATCAATTACGTCGGCCTTCCTTCAGTCGATTATCACTTTATTTACTGATTGTGAGACAAGTTTAATATTTGTGTCAATAATTATATGATATTATAATTATTGCTGTAATATTAGTAACAAGAATCTATATTTATAATTCTATTTAAAAAATATATTTGACACTGAAGATGATTATAAATTATAGTTAAATTATGTTAATTGCAATCATTTTTATGGTAATAATGACAACTATGTAGTCATTTTTGCCATCTACACATGCATATTTTTTGCTATAAACATGATTATTATTACCAACCATTATAGAGTAATAATTATAATTACGATACCATGAAATTATAGTCACAAATATTAAAAAATGTTCTTTCAGTGTTCAATTTTATCGATCTGTATACTATAACGTAACGTTTCCACCAAGATATTTCTATCGCGGCACCGAAGCGTTATATGGTCACCTCTTTCCTCTCGTGTTCAATATGCTCCCACCATTTTCCACGGGACATGCACCGCGCGCTGGGCCGCGGTCTAGGGGCGTTATTCCTCAGAAAAGCGAACATGAAAAATGCCCGACTACCGTGACAATGCCTTCTCTCGGATACGGCATTGGATACGGGTTTTCGCAGACGGATACGAGTCCCGCCGCGCCGTATTTCGCCAGTCTCTCCATGCGAGACGCTGACCGAAAACTCCCGCGCGACGATATTGCCCGCGAAGGGATACAATAAATACGGCGCGATCGTGACAATAACTCTTTTGTACCAGATGCAAGCGACCAGAACTGGCTTGTGACGTAGGTATTATTGCGACGTCGGTGTCTCTCAATGTTGACTCCTTTTATCGCGTTTCGTCGCATCTCTCGGCGTGAGGTAAAAGCGCGCCCGTATCTTTTACAATCCTTATCGCTTCAATAAATGTCGCCTAAAATATAACAATAAATATAAAATGTTCCGCTTTGCGTATAAAACGATTATAGCAGGTTAATAGAAAATTTGCGAGAGATGAATTTCGCAGAATTTTTCTATTTTTCTCTCTTTTTCGGCTTCACGTTATTGTATGCGTTTCGCCTTCTTCGATTTTATCAGCGTCCTAGCTTATTCATTCGTACCATACGTTTTATCCAGCGCAACCAGCTATTTGTCCACCCATCCAATTCTCGCGGAAGTCGTAGATGTGATATCTATTTCGCTTCCTGTTCCTGTTTCCGCCTGTTCACGGAAGAAAAGAGAAAGGGAGAAAAGTGCGCATTCTTCGACTTCGTCGAGCGCAGAGACCGAAACCACAAAGTGTCTTCCGCGGAAATGCACGTGAAAAGGTTTAAACGCGCTCCCGAGGTATATCGTTTGCCCTACCATTCGCCGTTCTTGTCACTGTCGTCGTTTCCTTCTCACCCTACGCGATTTCGTTTCCATTGCATCCTTTCGCTACGCCCTCATCGTAGAGTCAATCTTTTCCACGTCGCCGTCAGTAGCCGTGTTTCTCACGAGCTGTGCGCGAGCTATATCGTCACCGGATGCATTCCATCGCGCTTTGAAACGAGCCACGAACGGGACTCTTCATTGTTTGTCTACCCTCCAGCGAGCGGCTTCCTCCCTTCGTGTGCGTGCGATGAGTAGCGCTAAAGAGAGTTCTCTCAAGTATCCTCCTGCCTCTTGCCAGGCTGTTAACCGCGTCGACGCCGCGCCGACCCTCGCCTCTTTCATTGAAACAAGCGGTGTGAAACCGCCGAGAAATCACACGCGGCAGCAAACACATAGAGGGCGCAAAGTTTTTGAAAGTTTCACTTCAAGCTGCAGGAATCAGGGGGTCAGAGAAAAAGGATTGAGTCAGCGGCGAGATAAAATGGAAAAATTAAAGTGAAAGAAGAAACACATATGTATATGTATATTTATTTATTTCATTCTTTAATGAAAAAATGTTATACTTATAGGTCTAGACTTTATTATCGTTCAGTCTTGTTGAGAGGAATAACAAAAATAATGCTATTTTGTCGTATTTGTCGTCGTTTATGGAGATAATGGCCCTTAATTCTGTCTAGACCTGTGCTCTTTGTCAAAGATTGTAAATAATTTTGAAGAATCTTTTCCAAAGAGAATGCGAATCTTGTAGTTTCTAGCAAGGATGAGATTTGAGCCCTCGATCTGTCGGCGCGCAGTGTGGAGAAGTGAGATGAGGCTGGGCTTCGTGCGACGGAAACCGCATTGTGACGTCACACCTGGTCTCGCCTGGTCCCGCTATTTAAACGCGGTCTCGGGTCGTTTCATAGCCGACGCCGGCCGACCGACCGACCGACCGACCGACCGACCCCCGTTGGTACGACGAAGTCGTGCGAGACCGGGGAAGGGGACCTCGTGAATTTATATGCCGTTTAACCCGGTTAAAACTTTGGCACTTAAATTAAACAATAGAACGAACCGCGCGCCCGGGCACCTCCTGGAGTCGAACGTACGTCTTTGGCTCAGCGGAGCTTGCTCCAGCCGTTTCATCTCTCTTCCGTTCCTTCTCGCTTTCTCTTA